CTCTCTCTCTCTCTCTCTCTCGCTGTCTCCATTATTCACAGACACTCTTACCTCAGATCACCTCAGGAACGTTCTGTGCAGACAGAGTTCCAAGGCTGTTGAACATGATCGGGACTAATCTGCTGTGTCATGCTGTGTATTATCATTTCTGTGGGGTTTTATATGATTATTTGCCTAGAGCTGTTTATGCATTACATTGAGTTTGATACATCATTACATAATTACAATAAATTAACACGACTGTTCTGGGGAGAACTGGCAGCTTTTTAAAGACTCTGCACAAGACTGCAATTAAGTTTATGTTTTATTTGACCAAAAACGAAAGTATTGACTGATTTACATATATATTTATTTATTCTTTTTTATCTAGTGGAGAAGCTGCAGAGCCTCATTGGCGAAATATGTTTCTCCCATGAAGCATGTTCAAAATGACCGATAGTACAAATGTTGCATCATGTTAATTCTGTCAGTAGTGCACTGTATGCCTTACACAATACTTTATATAGACGTGCATATACACACTCTGCCTCACTGTCACTGTGTATTCAGTCTCTTGCCATCTATTTGCGTGTTTTATGGAGAGAAAAGAGTGACGTCATTCTGTTTTAAATCAAGACAGACATTTGAATGAAAGCCTTAGAGTGTATGACATAACTGTGGAAACCTACACGTTAATGAGATTACACTAGTGAGAGTAAAAAGCAACACATGAACATGAATTGGAATTCTTACGCTGTAAGGCTCAGGATGATAAGGAGGCTAAATCTGACATTTCATAATTCATTCATTTATTTTTAAAGCACTGCAATGCATAGTGTCAATTAAATTTTTTTTAAGGGGACATATTGTGATGATTTTTCAGTGAATCAGCTCAGCTCAGTTTTTTTAGGAGGTGCCTTTATGTCTGTAAACATGTGAATCAGTGAGCCATTAAGATGTGGAGAACCAATCTACGTAGGAGAGGGGGAGCTCATGGAATTAGACCCACCCCTTACTCGCTGAATTTGATCAATTCCAAACTTTGCCACAATCACAGATGCATTAAGTTTTACATTAGTTGGACAGACGATGGTGTGTCTAGCTGCAGGAGAGCCTCGTCACCTGGCTGTAGAGTGGAGAACGTCCCTGCTGTCGCTATCACTCAATCGTGATAAATCATGAAATCTCTCTGTTTAAGCTGCATAGATGTATCTGTCTGCCCTGTCGGACTAAGAGGAGAGGGGTGAAACAGTTGTGAGGATATGAGGCCCTGACAGAGGGAAAGGTTGTTGATGATGTTGTGGTTTTCTGTTACAGAGTTGTGAAATTGTTGCTCTGGGTTGAGGAACAACACAACCATTATTCCCTCAGCTAGAGGAGGCCTCCCACTCATAAACTCTGCGGGGGGGATTGTGTACATACTCACACGCACACACACAAACACACACACACACACACACATATTGTTTTAACAGTGTTACTATTTGAGACAAGCGGAGACTTTAAGCTTTTGAGCAGAGACTAGTGAGTGACCTCTTGTCGTTTCACACTGGAACTAAAAAACACATCAGGTTGGATGGACTGATGGCTTTAAGTAATTGACGCTGACTGATATACTAATTGATTGTCTTACCTCATCCAGTCTGACCACCTCCCAAACTGCAATGAGGACCCACACGGTGGTAGTCATCAGAGTTGGTAACACCAGTGAGGCTGTAGGCATCCGCCCTGCAGCCAAAGCCTCCTCTGGCTGCAAGAGAAAACAGCTGAGCAGAATTAGAAAATTCTTGTCAAGCCTCACAAGCTGGTTCCATCCAAATGTGGAGGACTGAAATATAATTTCTTTCTTTATTAGTGTTTTTGTATTTTAATGTTTTACTACTTTTTAAAAATTTTAATGTTATTTTTTTATACTTTTTGCTAGATTTCAATACATTCTAAATACATTTGATGATTTTTAATATTGTGTAATACTGTTGATATTCTGTGGTTCTTGGTACATTTCATTATTTCTTGTTTCATTTAAATACCTTGAACAAGTTTGTAAGTAAAATGCAATGATTGTATTTCAGTACAGTGCTTTAGACGACCATCATTATACAAAGTCAAGTAAAAATTCAGGCCTCAATGAGCGATCATATGATATGCATTTGTTATCATGGACAGGGATTAAAACTTATACAGAGACAAAATGCTTCCAACTAACGTTTATCAGTAAACATTTTGTTGTTGTAAAATACAGAATGTAACTTCACAACAGTTGTTGACATAGACTACACGGTCAGTAACACTTGTAATTAATCCAGCCTATACAGCTCCCCCTGTCGCCTGTGATGTCCCTGTAGTAAAGGCCAACACTCCACAGTAAGTCCATCTGACTTCTTCATCATCTGTGGCTGTGACTCAAATTTAAAGCACTATCACCTCATATGTCTTCTTCTTTTTTGGTTTCTTTCTTTCCTCCAAGTTTTTATACAGCAGAAATTCATGCAGTTTTACTGTTTTCCCATAGAGGGAAAACATTTTTCAGAAAGCCTGACCATGAGAGCAAGCCGTACTTCACGAAGCCCCCAAACGCTTTCATGATATTCCGAATGGAACAGAGGCCAAAATTGTGGCGGAGCTCCAAAACTAGGAAGGTATCGATTACATTTCTGCTTCATGCTTAAGTTTATTTTCAAGGTCATCATTCCTCCAGTTTTTGTGACATTACATCTCCCACAGAGGACCTTTCACTCATCACTGGGCCAGATCTGGATCCTCTCAGCTCAATGACAGCCAGAGGAAGGAGGAGCGAGCGCTGTGATTGGTTAAACTGTGTAGTAAACTGACTTCATGTGCAGTTGAACAGAGGCAGAGAGGAAGTGCCTGAAGGTAGAATGTAAAAAAAACAGCAGTTATTAGAAGAATTGTCACAATAACTCTCGCATTACACCGCCTGAGGAGTGTGTGTGTTACTCAATAAAGTCTGTTCACACTCTTTCACTGTGGAACTCATTTCCCTTTAATTTAAAAACTGGTCCTCAAAGGTACAAAAGACTTTGGGGTTATGTTTTTATTTATGGTTTGGGTAAGAAGAAGTCAGAAAAGACAGTAAACTGTGATTGGCTGTTTTATTTTAGCAGCTGTATTCGTATAGGCTGAGATATTACTACAGTATCCATAGTAATAGAGCTGTAAACAGAAAAAAGGGCCTCACGTGTGGTTTTGTTTTGAAGTAGGGCCTCATTTTTGTCCGTTTGTTTGTTTGTGGGGCCAAGCCCACAAATTATGGGGAGTGTTATACATGTACATGAGTTTTTGTTCATGTGTATGGACATATACATGCTGCTGTTATTTAGGTTTGTATTCTATAGTAAATATGTGTTTCTGTATGTGCCCTAGTTTCCAGGCTGATCAGACTTTCTTTGAGGGGTCCAGTAATAAAGACACTGGCAGTCTCCTTAAACATGCACACACACACACACACACACACACACACACACAAATGTGTTTCTCAATCTCTCCACCTATTACACAAGAAGACCCCCACACGTAAATGAAACCTCCCTCTAAGAAATCCACCCCCTCACACACACACGCACTAAATCCCTGTTAAATAGTTTATTGAGCTTCTGCTGCTTCCCACATAGGCCTCAGCTGATTCAGAATGCAGGAGGGGGTTGAGAGGATGGGGATGGAGGGGTTTTGGGAGCGTGACGGGGGTATGAGGGTCAGACAGCTGCTGTTTACAGTTACCATGGAAACCTTTGTCTGAGCCTGTCAAAATGGAGAAGGATGAGTCGGGCTGTAAATTCAAATTTAAATGCTTCTATTTTGTGTCTACCAAACAAGTTGCCACAGATTTGCCTTTGGCAGTTTTTTCTTCATGTATCTCAGACGACAGTAACAAAAAACATGGCAGACATGACCCCACCCTTTGCTGGATCCACCCCTCTATGCCCAATACTTAGGGATCACTGAAGAGAGCTATCTTTATTACTATAATTTAAAATGTAGCCTAACATTCATGTCACTAATTTAGCAGTGTTGACAATCTGACAACAATGGTATCGAGAAAAATATACAGTTAAAACCGAACTGCAAAAATAATTCACAACCAGATCAGTTACTTTAAAAAATGTTAAGTGGCATTACCACAATGTGTTAAACATTTTTAATTACAATACAACTTGACCAATCAGAGGCTTAATTACACGTATTCTGATCTAAATGTACTTCAGCATCAAAGGTGACAAATACCTCAAGTCAATTATACTTACAGTACAGAATTTGAGTACATGTCTTTATACCAGGAATTAACTTTTATAATTCACAGATATACACAAGAGGAAAATTGATTAAAATAATGATCATTTCATGCAATAAAACCTGGATGTTTCCAAAGATTTGGCACATAGTGCATATAATTGTATAACAGTAATGCTAATTTACCAAAATGAGACCTTGTTGCCCTCTAGTGTCAGAAACATACTCTGCAATTCTGTTACCGTCCATCCTCTATGCTACTAATCCTTTGAGGGTCACAGGGAGCTGGAGCCAATCTCAGATGACAATGAGCGAGAGGAAGGGTTCACCCTGATAATGTAACATACAGAGACAAACCACCATTCACTCTCACATTCACACAACTTAGTTTCCAATTAACCGAAGATCAATTTGCAAGTTTTTGGTGTGTACAAGTTAATCATAATAATCAGAAAAACTCACGCAAACATGGAAAGAACATTCCAACTGTACCCATGAAACCCTGGCTGACCTGGGATTCAAACCAGGAAACTTTTTGCTGTGGATTCTGTTACCAATAATGTAATCAATAAATGTAAAAGCAAAGTCTTAATCCATGGAGAACATAAATTGATATCCTTATTAAGGACCTTTGACATTTACTACATAATGAAGTAGTTATTTAAATGAATTGAAGGGGAAGCCAACATTTGTACAGGCATTCAGTTTAATTTAATTTGAAGAGAGTTCAAAGTTATGATACTTAAAAAAAAACACACACACAGAAGCAATGTGGGCATAGAAATGTCCGAGCTAACAAGCTGGGAAGATTCCCAAATGCACAGAATACAAAATATCACAATGTCATATGTACAACACAAAAAGAACACAAATACACAGACGAGCACTCTCAGCGAGATGGAGTTTGGTATTTACATGAAAGTAAATAGAACAAACCAATAAATAACATCAAAATGCATTGGTTGATGGATGATGACATAAAGCTGGATTTGCAGATAAAGAGCCGACCACTGATTTATCTCTAAATACTACAGACAGAGCAAAGTTATTCATACACAGTCTTCTTGTAAAGAAACCATAACTTTCATCTTTTTAAATCCAAATTTGTTTTCCCCTGATTAATTTACATTCAAGCCAGCTCAGGATACAGATTGAGCCTGAAAACGTAGACAGATGTTGATATTTGATTGAATATTGGAGGAAAATCAGCCTAAAGTCAACTCAGGATCGAACATGGCTGTGAGCTTGTTCCCCAGAGCGCCCCAGCTTCTCTCATTTTCACCAGCATGTAGGACAAACAACGACGTCAGAGAGGATATAAAAAGACAGGTAAATATCTGCAAAGACAAAAATTCCACCGGCTTCTCTTTGAAAACACTGAGATAATCATCAAGATTCATTATTTCTCTGGATAATATTCATTATATTTCATTACATTACATACAAGTAGGGATATATAAAAACATGTTATGGTTGTATACAGAAATAGAAAATAGAAATTTTAACCTTCAGTGAGCTGCAGTTGATGATTATTTCATCTTTGAACGGTGATGAAAGAATCTCAGCCCGGTCTCAAAGGGAGGGTTAGAAATCCGTGTTTTTTCTTTTTCCATGTACATCTTACCTCTGGATATTTATTTATTTCCTTCTTTAAAATGTAGCTGAAGTGAAAGTCCATGATATGAAATAAATAACAAAAATGACGTCTCCTGTCTTCACAAATACGTGGATAACAGCGGAGGTGTCATGTTCTGTAAACACAGGTCTCTCTCATGTAACACCAATGATATCTTGGATAAGATGAGGACATGACATGATACTGTACATCATCATCAGTTTTATATCAGCAAAGGGGAAGAACAAAGAAAATAATAAGCTCAAATATAAGGATGACATGGTTGTACATGTTATGATGTGTATTCCTGTCTCAGTACAGCAGTGATCACTCGTAACGATGGTACATATTTTAATGTGGCGTTTGGCGTTTGCCTTATCAGGTTACAGCTGAATGTCGTTTTTCGAGCCTGATCTCCAGAAGCTGCCACCGCAGTAAAGAGAAGGAATACTAACTTCTGTCCCGCACCACAGGAACTCTACTGTATTTTGGGTTATTTGTGATAACGGTCAGCTATAGGCACAACCTTTGACACCTCTCACTAACACAATGATCCTCTCTCAACACAGGCCTGTCTCCAGATTGTATCTACAACACTCGCATCATAGCTTAAAATAAACACGTCACACTTTAACACATCCATTCATCTACTTTTTTCCTCACATGAAGTCTTTCATGGTTTTAGCACTAGCAACCGAGAACCCAAAGCAAGGCCCTACCTCACCTCACCCACTCTTGCGCCTCTTCCTCTAATCCCTTTTAGCTCTTCCTTTCCTCTTCCTCCTCCCAGAGTTCTCCTGGGGCTTTTCCTCTTTGCTTCCCATCACCACCGCTCCGTTGGCGGCCTTGCTGAGGCCGTTGAGGGCCCCGTTAGAGAGGGCCTTGCCTGCCTTGGAGGAGGAGGATGAAGCGTCGCGCCTGGGCAGCTGGCGGCGATAGGTCTGGTAGTAGAAGTTGCCGAAGAGGATGATGAAGGTGATGGCATAGCAGATGAGGGAGTAGTGCATCCAGTGGGGGAAATCGCAGTTGACATAGAGGGACAAGGCCGTGTGGCCGATGGTGACGTGGAACTGAATCTGAGACACAAAATGAGAAATGAAATTGTGTTTTTATAAAGCTTATGATTTCACTTTATCATTGCAGTTAGATTCACTTCCAAAATGAGTTAGGGTTAGGGTTCCATGGAGGAAACTAATGTCTCACCATCTGGACGATGGTCAAATACTTCTTCCACCACAGGTACTTTTGGATCTTCGGTCCGCAGGAGGCCAGGCCATAATACAGATACATCAAGACATGGATCACCGCGTTCATGTGTGCACCAAAGAATGCTGCAAAGAGAAGAAAATAAAGATGATGTTTTCAGTTTGCCAATTTTAAGGCTTCAACACACAAACCTCATACATCTCGAAAAGGTTTGCTTTCAAGTTCTTATGTACTTATACAGTTAAAGCTACAGTGTGTAGAATCTTGTGATATCTAGTGTTGAAGTTTCATGTTGCAGCTGAACGCCCCTCTCCCCGCCCTACCCTTCCAAACATGAAAAACAACCTGTGGTAGCCTTCAGTTGTCATCAAAACTCAATAATGAAAGGAACTAGTGAAAACATCTTGAGGATTATTCTCCATTAAATATCTGCCAATAGTTCCCTCTCACCTAAATCTTACACACTGGACTTTTAAAAGGATAACAGTGTATTTTTACTCGTAGGCATGGCTAAAGTCAGTCAGTTGTTCAAGAGGATAAATTCTAATGATTTTGGTGACATTTATAAAGAATCAGCTTGACATTTGTGGTTTTGAGTGAGATGTCTTAGCAGCTGTTGGATTGAAATGTGGACCAGACAAGCATTTCCATCTCTGGATGAAAATGAAAATATTAAGTGATGACCTGAGTGACCATCTACAATCACAGGTCAACATTTTGATTTGCCAAATATTTGTATTTATGGCCTAATGCCTGTAATGACTGAATGCATGCCAACATGCTAAAATATGGTGAACATACCGAACATTCTGATGAAAAGTGTGTGAATTACATATGTGGGTCTAAGGAAACAGGGCAAAGAGCACAACAATTTTGATTTCAAATTTAACTAGAAAGGTACTCAGTTGAGCACATATACCTCTGCCAAGGCATAAGTCCCCTTATGAAACAACATTTAAATTCACCCGATCCAGATTTTTATTTGGATCTGCACCAAATTACATACACAATATCAGTCCCCTAAACATTTTTGTCATTAAGATCCATGAATTATTGTCTGAGAAATAAAGGAATATATGATATATGTTATATTTTATAAACATTTCACGAGTTCTTCTCTGAACCTGATATCACCAAATTTCAAGGTAATTAATCCTGCACTTTTTGCATAATCCTAACGAACAGACAGTCAAAAACAAGAAAACATAACCTCCTTGGCTGAGTAAAATTATTTCATAAAAATGAAGTAGGCACAAAGAATAATCCTGACATTTACTTTAGCCTGAGCTACTCACACTGTCCTCCTGCCACCCATTTGATGCCGATCCACCAGAGCGTGAACATGGTGCAGTGGTGGTAGACGTGCAGGAAGGTAACCTGGTTGAATTTTTTTCTCAGAATGAAAAACACTGTGTCCAGGTACTCAATGCCTTTGGAGATGAAATACCACCACAGAGCTCCTGCGACCTGTCTCAGACACAAAGGCAGAAATGTGTTGAAGGCAGGTACAGCAGGGGGAAGGAAAAAGAAAGAAAAAGGAGGATATAGACAACTAGAGCAGAAGAATCTAATATATTCTGCCACACCTCGACTTCAGGGTCACCTGAGACAAGACGACTGTGCTGTCTGTGTCTGGTGTGTAACTACGTCATGGAGCAGCAGGAAGGAAGGTGAAACTGAACACGATCCCTCCTTCAGCTGCACTTTTTCTGATGATGGGATCAGGGTCCAAGTTAGTGGAAGCTGATCAAGTTTCCAAAAAGCACTGAGTGTGAAGGTTCCCTGAAACCCTGACAAGACTTTTCTTACGTATTTGGGTAGAGCAGAGCACTTAGAGTGAAGTGAGATCATCATCTATTTGTAAAAAATGGCAGTGAAGTTGTGAACTGTAATAAATTAAGTTACATACATTTTTGATTTAATAAGTGTGTGTGCATGTGCCTTTGTGTGTGTGTGTGTGTGTGTG